GCGAGAACGACGCGGGAGGACAAATCAGGATCCTTCTGCAGCAGTTTATTTGAAGACTGAAGACCAAAGACCACGAGAAGCGGGAGAGCGGTTGCTTATATATGCCCTAAAGGTCCCATTTATGACGTATAAGAAGCAGATTGGTTGCTGGAGATCATGCCACGGGAGGAGGCGAGGGAGAGCAGGCTCTTGTGCACGCCCGTTATGGGCGCAGCAGGATGTTTACTGTTAAGAAGGTCCGGATACCGGCGCCATCTTGTAATGGCGGCGGAGGCTGTGGCTCTCCACATATGTGCTTTTGAATGTAGCCAGAAGAGTGTGCCAGATTCTCTGGTACTAGAATTACAGTGGTTGTGACCACCTGATGTGGGTGTTGTAAACCAAACTTAGGTCCTCTTCAAGAGCAGCAAGCCCTCATAACTGCTTGAATCATCTGTCTAGCCCCTGGTGTTTCTTTTAGCCAGGGTTTTATTATGTGGCTCAGATTGGCCTTGAACTCATAGCAATTCTCCTGCCTCATTCTCTTGAGTACCAGGACTAGAGGCATGTACCAGTCAACCTGCTGGGGAGGAGAGTCTTCCCTGGTCCTGTTCCTTGCCTTCCCAGTAGCTTCAGACATCCTCAGTGCCTCATGGGCTCCTGATCATTATAGTGGCATGCTTGCTTCAGAACAGAAGCAGTACATAGACCCCCAAAAGCTGAATTTGAGTCAGTTTTGATGGCACCTTCCTTTTTGGCAACATTACCTAAGCTGGCCTCCTGCCTCAACCTCCCAAGCAACTGAGATTACAAGTGTGTCATCATATCCAGCTTATTTGTATTATTTTTAGCAGCTTTGTTTTTGCTTTTTTTTGTCATGGTCTCATGTAGTTCATGTAATTGGTCTTGAGGTTCTAATTCTCCTGCCTCCACTTCTCAAGTACAGGGATTATATGCCTGGCTTAGAAGCTTGATTGATGAATCCTTTATGTACCATAAACACCCATCAATTTTCAGTAACTTTACCAAATGAGATAACCACGCCTCCTAAGTATCCTGTACCTCTACAGTAGTTTCCTTGACCCCTCCTCCTGGCAATCACTATACTATGTAGCATGAACTGTACTATGTCTATTGAGTTGGCTGGGATATGCCATATAAATGGAATTGAATATGCATGTTTTCAAAGATTTTTTTAAAAATATTTTTATGTGTATGTATGTATTGCCTGCATATAAGTAAGTGTACCCGTGTTGTGCAATGCCTGTGGAGGACAGAAGAGACTGTCAGATCCCCTGGAACTGGAGTTACAGACAGTTGTTAGCTGCCATGTGGGTTCTGGGATTCGAACCTGGGTCTATCTGCAAGAACAGTCAAGTGTTCTTAACTGCTGAGCCATCTCTCCATCCCGATCATTATTATTTTTTTTAAAGGGTCTCACTATGTAGCCCTGGCTGGCCTAGAACTCAACAGAACTCTCTCTGCCTCTGGTATTAAAGACGAGTACCACACCCATCCTTTTTATGGCCAAAACCTTTCACGGTGTGGACTTACCTCATTTTGTTATCTCTTATCTGACTGTATATTCGGGAGATTTCTTATGGATATTTACATGTAGGTCTTTGAACAAACTGATAAAAATTGTCGCATGGTTTGGTAATTTTGTGTGATTTCAGCGCTGCGCGCCACAGCGCGAATGTCACAGCACCTGAGGAGCGGTCAGAGGATAACTATTGGAAGTCAGTTCTTGCCTTCTACCTTGTTGAGAACACGGTCTTTCTTGTTTCTGCCGCTAGCTGGTCCTCGAGCTTCTGGACACATTTTGTCTCCGTTTCCCATCTCGCTATAGGAGTGATGAGATTACAGATGCCAGCCACCTGAGGGAGATCAAACGCAGAATGTCTCATCGGCCCCAATCTGTAATTTACGAATTACTTTAAGTGGCTTTTATGAATGCACTTTCCTGAAGAACGTCGTCTGTTGCAGGCCGCGTGAATGTGCACCTCCGGGGGGGGGGTCCACCCTGCCAGGACGCCCTCCCATAGAGGGTTGTCCCCCCAAGTCTTTGGAAGTGCTGCCCCGAGGCTGAGCTCCCGGGAAAACCCGTAGAGCGCTCAGCAATGGCCCCGCCCACCTTGCGGCCGGGAGGAAGTCCCGCCTTTGGAACTGTCCTACCCTTGAGAAAACCTCCCGGAGCACTGATTGGCTGTCCCCGCCCTGCCCCCGGGGAAGGCGAGCACGAAATTGTGGATCCAGGTCGCCTTGCCTCCCTTCTGGGTAGAGCAGCCGCAGCCGCTATATAGAAAGCATGACCCTCCCTGACGCAGCCATGTCGCCTCAGACAGGCGCTGTCGAGGTCTGGCCGTTCCTCTGCAAACAGAGTGGGTGTGTGGGGGGAAGAAGGGGTTGTGCAAAGTTTGAGACTCGGGATTGGCGAGCATTAGAAAAGGGGTGGGGCTAGAAGACTAAGTACTACGTGAACTGGCCGCCCACTACCTTGGCGGCAGTGGCCAATGATGAAGGCGAGGGGGCGGGAGGGCAAGGTGTTGAAGGCCTGTGGTGGCTCTGAGTCGCTCAGCGAGAAGCGAGCGGTAGGGTGTTAGTGGTTCTGATGGACGTGGGAGGACAACCAATGGTCCTGGAAAATCGGGGAAAGCGGCCAATGGTCACAGCGACGAGGCGGAGGTTTCTCCAGCCTCCGCAACGCTGTGTACGAAACGATAGGGGCGGGACGGCCTTGACGGACAGGCGGATGGACCAACAGCCGTAGGAAAAAGAACGGAGCGTGGCCAATGGCGATAGTGAGGGGAATAGGGTGGAGTGGGGGCGGGGCGACCAGGGGCAGCCGGCAGTGTGTGGGGAAATGTGGGGGCGGGGCGACGTGACGGCCAGGCGGACAGACCAATGGTCCTGGGAGGGCCGGCGGAGGGCGGCCAATGGTGGCG